ATAACGAGAGAGACTGACAAAGAAACCTTAGTTGTGGTTGTAAACATTCGAGCTCGACTCGTGGAGCACGGTCTTCTTCAAATTATCCATGGATCCATCTCCAAACTCATTATAACCAGGTTCAACTTCCGAGAAGACGTATTTCGGCGGTGTATCCGTAAGAGCTGGCCAAATATCGGTGGGAAGGAACTGCCCTTGCTCAAGTCTGAAGGTCTCCCTTTGCTTCGCATCTTCATCATCGATCTGTTGCAGCTTTGCCATAGCCTCCTTAAGAACAGCATTCCTTTTCTCCTGCATGCGAGTTCGTCGGTCAGCCTCCTGCAACATTGCTCTGTACGCCTTTCTGAATGTCTCGTAAAAAGCTCGTAAGCCATCCATTTCCGACAACTTATCGTCCATCTGCATTGCAAATTCCGACTGGTTGTATTCGAAACTCGACAGGTCGACCAAATAGACGCTTAGATTGTTTTGGAGGACGTCGAACTCCATAAACGCCTTTACAAGCAGTTGATTGCGGTTGTTTAGCGACTCCATGTACGGGGCAATATTCGTAGCGACGGAGTTCTCCATGCTCGCTAGTCGCTCCTCGATCTCTTTCACGGCATCGTCAACCTGTTCCCCATCTGTCTCTAGCACTGATAGCATCTCTGCCCGCTCTGCGGCTGCGACCGGGTCCACCACTGGAATTTCCAGTTCCTTCATCGCGAGACAACATTGGTCGTAGTGACGGGTCAAGGATTCCAACAACCCAGCTATTGCTTCTGCATGCTCCTCCAACTGCTCGACGTGGGGTATTATTGGACTTTTCGAGAGAACTGGCGGGAATGTAGAAAAGTCGGTGAGAACTGCTTTTAATCGAGTAATGTCGGCGTCGAAGGCTGAGATGGTCTCCATGAACTTGTTATGGGATGCCTATTGTGAACTGCCTGTCAGAAGCCGCGGGCGGGTAGGGACGGTACCAACAGCACTCACCTCAACTTCATCAATAACCCCTCTCAATCCATTCTTCAACCCCTCAATAGCGCTGTCATCAACAAAGTCAATGAGATGCTTCTCCTCCTCTTGGTCGCTACTCCGAAACACCGGGTCGACTTTAACGGCTTTCAGGTCGTCTAGCACTAAGCTGAGACTTGCTTCCGCATCATCCAGCTCCCGAATCTGTCGAGTAAACTTTTCCCTGTAGCCACTTTCTACGCTTTTGAGCTGTGTGTTGACCTCCACCGCAAACTGGAGTTGGTCTCGATAACTATCCGTGACAAACGATATCCTTGCGTTTAGCGCATACGACTTTTGTAGATCCGACCGTGAGTTGCTCACCAGCTCGTTCGCCCTGGCGCATAGTTGGACCGAGTGGAGTGATTGTTTTGATTTGACGAGCCAGCCGAGTACTTTGCCTTCCGGGTCGTTTGTCGGTGTTGGCAACGCCGAGTCGTGTGAGGGTACGAAGGCTTCGGAGGAGGGCGGGGGGTGGCTTCCCATGGCCGAAAAGAAGCCGGAATTCGAGCGGTTATCGAGAGTCGTCATGCAGGTTGAGTACAGCGGTGCGAAATCGAAAAGAGGGACGATAGGGACAGTATGGAATGTAGAAAACGCGTTTGCTGCATTCACAAGGCTTGAACTGAATGTAGGGGACCGATGATGTAGCAGATGCGATAAGAGATGGACGATAAGGGCGCCCACATCAAAACCGCTTGGCATTTGTCACATGGCTGCAACGCTAAACTTGATGCGTTAACGTGTTGACTTTGTAGCTTGCCCGCCGTTCTAGCCGTCACCCTCTTGCAACAACTCAACAATGGACGACTCTCTAGGTGAGTTCTCGTTAACAGTCCTTTTCATCGCTCCCGGAAGCTGATTCTAACGAAAGATGTCGATAGATGACCTAGTCCGCAGTCGCGTGCTCCCCACAGAAGACAAATACGTCAAGCGCATCAACCGCAATGTACTCAAGGTCGAAAAGCTCGTCAACTGGACATTAACCTCGCCGCGACCAGAAAGACCACCAGGCTTTGCAGACAAGGACTCCGGGGCCAAGATAGATCCGGAGGAGGATTTGACCGTAGCGATGCTGAAGGACCTGGTAGACATGGACCACGACCTGTTTGCAACTTCGCTGCTAAAGATTCAAATCGCCAATGACATGAACGCAAGTGAAGTTGAACGTTATGAGCAGGAGAAGGTTAAGATTGGTGCGTTTTTCTTGCACTGAGGGGCGGTTTGGAGCATGGACAACTTGGGACGGTCGCTAACCAACGGAATAGTCCAAGATGAACAGATAGCTCGAGATACGATAGCAAAGCAGCGGGATGAACTGCTAGCCGCCCAACAGGAGAAGGAAAACCGGCTGGAATACGACGCCATCGCCATGGAAATCTTCAACTCGAAATCGCTCAAACCCCGAGACGAACAAGCACAGGCGATAGCACGCCTGAACGCCGAAATCGAAGAACTCGAGAAGGAGCGTGACAGTGACATCAAACTATGGGAAACGCGTCGGGATCACTTCAGTCAAATCACAAACCTGCTGGATGGGATGGTTGATGAGATCAAGAGGGAGAAGGAGGAGCAAGAACGAAGGGAAGGAATGGACGAAGAAGAGGAAGGCGAGGAGGTTGAGCATGGAAAGGACCGTGACTCAGCTGTTCCCTCCGGAGGCAATACGCCATTCCATCAGAGCACACCAAGCTTCTCCGGTGGATTGACGCCAGCAGCTCAGAGGTTGCTTCACAAGAACGCTGCGGCAAATTCGGCATCCAAGGAAGCATCTAGCCCGGCGCCTTCCAATATTGATATTGTCATTACGGATGCACCACCTCTGAAGGACGACGACATGGACAAGATGGATACTACCTAACGAGGATCTATTAAGCGAAAGGGCGTTGCAAAAGAATCTTGCTTTCATACCAACTGATTTACTATGGGTCGCGGTTTTCTCGGGCGTTATGGGTCTTGTTATTTATTGCGCAATAATAGAGTAGTATTTTCTACCAGAAGTGTATGTCCCCTTTGTTGCTGGTGTGAGTTTGCAGGCCTACCCCATCATCTTGCTTCCGTCAACACAACCACAGGGCCCCTCTCAAGTTACTCTCTTTGATGGGCACATCGTATTTCCTATTGTGCTTTTGCTGGAGGCGGTGTCATGTCAAGACTGACAAAGCATCTCAAAGTTGAAAGCCACTTGTTCAAGCCCGGCCCCAATTTGGACTGCTGGCACTGCTTTTCACTTTCCCGCTTAGGAGTGCCATTCACTTGGGAAAGCTTGCTGTGCAGTTAGGTGAGTTCGTTCATCTTGATACATGGCCACTTATAATGATCAGTTGTTCTCTGACACGCTATGCAGCAGGCTGCTCTTGAGTTTGCTCTACTCCTTTTACGCTCAATTCGCAGGATGTTGGCAAATGTTATCCAACTTGCTCGGCATATCATAGCATGACTTTGGCATCACTGTTGGAAGCAAGACGGTTCGTTCTACCTTGTCATAAGCTAATATGGCAAGATGCTAATAAGTTACAGGTGTTATAAAAGTACGCCCAGCTCCCAGAAAGTCCGGAATATTTTGTTCTCTATCAATCACCTCACGATCGCAGAAACATAGCCACGCGATACAACTTAGATCTTTTCGACCCCTGTTACCATTTGCAACCACTTACCAGACCCTTGACCCAAGGATGTTCGAATCTCTATGGGGCGTTGCCGCGACCACCCGAAATAATATAGCGAAAGCCGTCCCCGAAGTCGTCAAACGTGCCTCCATCAGAGCCGCCGAAGGCATCGGCTCCGGTCCACCAGGAGCTAGCCGCTCGAGAGACACGGCTCAAAGGATCCCTGGTCGGATCAAGGACTCCGGCCAGCATTCAATCCAGGGGCCGCTTGAGTTGAAAGGTCCTCTCAATGATATCATCTCGGTGCCTACTGCAGCAAATTCCTCACAAAGCACCCCAAGTCACAAAGGGAGGTCTCGATCTGACAGCTGCTTTAGTACACACAGTAACGATTCCGTTTCGACAGCACATTCCTCGGGCGATAGCGGCTATGGATCGGACTCTACGAGGTCTAGCTGTAGTTCTAGCTCAGGGACAAGGTCTCGGTCTGTTAGCTGCTCCAGCACAGCCAGTAATGGCTCGACTTTTGCGGATGGATCAAAGAAGCCACGGCCGATCGTACCTGCTAAATCCGCGGCAGTCAGAGATTGGGTTCAGTCACAATCCGCCGAGCATGGAGCTTCTGATAAGATTATGGCTGGAAGTACACAAGGCCTCAAGGGAAGGAAGAAAGATGGAAATGACATTTGGCTAGTTACAGATGATGATCTAATGAATAGACGTTATGCGGTCAGCATTATTAGCAAAGGGCCGTGTCCTTCTAGCAAACATGTTTGGGTAGCGACTGAGTCTGGCGGTACGAATCAAAGGCATTGCTGGAATTGCCGGAACGATGAAGATTTCCGTGGGACTATGAGATGCCAGGAAGACGATGATTGAAGAGAGGAATATTGGGGTCGTGTTGGGCCGTTTGGCTATTCCTGCTATGCAGGTTAATTAAGCTGGTGGTCTACTGGGGCCCGGAGTAGCGGGGGTGGACGGGTAGTTGGGAGAGGTATGTGTTGATGGTCAGCGTTGAAGTTTAAACCCTACAGTCTTTACAGTTGCAATGTTGAGCTTGGTGATGTTTTTCAGTTGCGGAAGAAATTGTTTTGAATGAGCACATTTGGTGGGAGGCGCTGTGCCTCGGGAGGTCAACTTCGAGCTACTATCCAGATTTCGGGATACTGGAACTTAGTTCTAATCACTGAAATAGTAGTTGGTAGCCCAAATGTTCACCCAGCCGCGGGTTCGCGCCGGATTTCGTTTGCATCGCAGTGCTCAACTTGACTTAGATGCCCGTGACACGCCAACAAACGACTTCACCATGGTCATCTTGGTACATTTCGCCCACCTCTTAAAGACCTCTATCATTCCTATTCTCCGGATCTCCCCACCATCTGCAACCATCGCATTATCCACACACAAGACAGCTGAGAAAGCTTACAGAATCAGCAGTACTTCAACCGAGACCCTCTCCTTGCGCATACGCCTCGAATCAACCTCGTCCTTCCCTGCTACACAGCGAAAGACAGTGTCGACAGCTTAACCTGTACCATTTTTGCACCACCTCCCTATCGCCTGTACGATCGATCGCTTGGACTAGCATCATGGCGGATCAGCTGAAGCGAATCGAACCCCCACCTGGAATGGGAAATTACGAGGACAAAGACCTGAAGGAGCGAAACGTCTTCGGAATCGATAATGTCTTTACTCTTGAGAGAAAGGACGATTCAGAACGGCCTCGGAAGTTCTTTAAACTTTGGTCCAACAGGTATCCAAAGGAAGGTATTAGACCTGATTGTGCGACTCCGGAGATGATAGATGGAAAATACCAAAGGCGTCTGTCAGATCATAAATGGATCATTTTCGATTTTGGTGCGGATGGAAACGAACATGATCCAAAGATCGAGGTTGGATGCGAGCAGTGCGGAGTTCGTATCAGAAAGTCCCATAATAAGAATGCTAAGAACCTTAACGGGTCATTCGACCAGGCGATGGAAGAAGATAGGGACGGAGACGTTGTTGCCTGTCGCGACGGGGATATTAAGCACGATTGGAGGCTGTATTTTGACTATAATTCGGAATCAGCGGACTACATCTTTACGGCTTGTGCTTTATGCGGGGCGAACCATTGCGATACCAATGATGGAAATGCAGAGCTCTATGGCAGTATTGAAGATCTGGAATATATGGGATCTCTTCTTAGGAGGCCAGAGCAAAATTAACAAGTTGCCCTGCTAGGCAAATTTCCTTAACAGTTCATTAATTTCTTTCTTGTACTGGTATACCAGTAAATACCCTACTTAGTATTCATCTAGATAGCCTCACACAATCCCAGACCGGTGGTCTTGCCTCGCTGACTCTTGCAATTGATGATCAATTGAGGTGTACGTGCCTATTAGTAGAGCTCTAGAGTGCTGAATCTACATTTAACCAAGTTAACCTGTTTTGAACTCCACTAATTGTACCTATCTACTTCGATAAGGAGCTTATCTACTCACCATAGTACCTAAGAAGTTCTTCACCAGTGTTGCGTACTACTTCTCATGCATTAAGTACTTGTCAATGATAGATATCTAGAAACGAGCTTGCGTGTTTCCTGACAACGTACTTCCAATACTATACCGGTGGTTCGAGTTCAAGACCACTTAATTTCTGCCGATATCGTACTAATCGCTGGGAAAGAACGCCCCTTTCCTGCATTTCGATTACTTAAAGTAAAAAATGTTTGCAGAAGTCTAAAAGCATGTGCTGTGGTGCACGAGTCGGCCAGGCCGGCTCATGATTTGATGTCTCAGAAACTCTGTTTAAGGGACGCAAGTAGCTAGTCAATATCGTTATATCGCGTCTATTTCTTCCCAATGTAGCTTCACGACAGTTAAAGACAGCAGCAGCTTGTGCCGTCATGTTGACATATGATGCAGGTAGCGTGAGGCAATTGCACATTTGCTAGACGGTGACACTCTCGGTCGTAGTACATAAACGACAACAACTTCAATGATCATGATAGACGATTGAAAGATGTGAAGAGGACTAGATCACGTTGATAGCACCCAGAAGCATTTCCCTTGAATCGGTTAACAGATAAATCCTATTAGTATTAAGACACCCTGTACATAGTGGCTATAGCTAGCATATGGGCAAAAGACAAACTCCAATAAACTCCACGATAAACCCAATCCTACCCAAAAAGTACACAAAAAAACCTTACAAGCCAAAGAAAGCAACAGCAAAAGCAACAGCTACAACCAAACTTCCCACCTTCGCACTTGGTGCAGCAGCACCATCATACTCCGGTGCCTCCGTTGGCTTGGTCGGCTTGACAGTCGGCAAAGTTCCATTCGTATGTGTTGGCGGAGGCAAAGCAGTACCCGTCACCAACGAAACCGTCGTAGTCTTTGAAGGAATGAAAGTGGTGATCAACGTCGTCGGCTTCTCTGTAGCTGTAGTAGTAGGCTCAGGTATCCTGGTAGTAGAATCGGTAGTCGTCATTGTGGTAGTTACTTCAACCTCGTTAGCATCTGTCCTGGTGCTAACCAGGGTTGTGGCGGAGGTGGTAGATACCTGAGTGGTGGCCGTCTCAGTTGGCTTCTCATCCCAAACAATCTCCATGTCAAACAACTCTGAGCATCTCCAGGTAGCGGCGGGGCCAGAGTAGATGGCATAGTTAGTCAGGGGCTGTTCGTTACCGGCGGGGCAGGCCATCCAGGTTGGACCGGTCAGGAAGTCGCGGGTTACTTCCTTGCCGTCTTCCTCGCGGGTCTTGGACTCGATCCGCCAGTTGTTGTATTGGGTGAGGGCTGGGACGGCGTCGGCGAAGGGGTTGCCGAGCTGGACGAAGTACATGGGGGTGCCGTGGGTGGGGCGGAGGAAGAGGATGTCGGAGGAGTCGGTGGCATTGACGGTCTTGGTGGTGGAGTCGTAGAAGGCGTGGAGCTGCTCAGCGTGGGGGGCGGAGGTGTCGTAGTAGATGGACTTTGGAAGGTAGCCGAGGGCAGCGATCTCGGCTGGTGCGAGAGGGTCTGGTCGAAGACGGAAGGTGTGGTGGGAGTCGACTGGGAAGGCCGAGGCCAATGGGATGGCGAGGAGAGCGAGGAGTGGTGCGAGCGAAAGCATTGTGATTGTTGAAAGGGGATAGGTTGTTGTTGTTAGGTTGAGATGATGTCAAACGATCGTGATCATATGTAGCGAACGTTGTAGTTGTGATGAGACCTGTATGGAGGATAAGCAGAAAAGAGAGAAAGCTGGAAGAGGATTCAGTATGCTTCTTTATACCCAACACCCACTCCTAGTGCATCGTAATGCATTGCCCGCAGATCTCCCGGTTTCTTCTGCCATCACCCCACAAAGGAGGCAATGCCCTCTCCCAAGAGTGGTGGTGAGGTCTGCCAAGGCATTACTAGCTTCGGCTGAGAACCGAATGCCAGGCACCCTGCACAGTGCAGCCCACGCGGACCCTTTTTGCGGCTGTCAAAGGCGGAAAACTCGCATGATGTTGGTGTATTTTTGGTGGTGAATTGCTTCTGGCGCCTTCTGTGTCGTTGGAACCAACGTGCTAAACCATCGGAGACGACCGAGACGGCCGAGAGGGGCATGATGGGCAAAGCCGAGAAAAAGTAAACCTGTTCTAAACGTTTCCCCGTGATGTCACCTGCTCTCTCGTCCGGAACAGAAACATGGGTAGAGGAAAGTCGATTCAGCCGGGACCACAAAGTGAGCAAAGCAGCCAATAATCATGAGAATTCTAGCAGGCAAAGTTTGGGAGACCGTTTCCCCGTTTCTCAAGGCGAGCTTGATCAACCTGGAAGACCCTCGGAACCGAGAATTCCCCAGACTACAGAGTGTAACCCTACATAAACTTTATCTCAACGTCCCATGTCTAGCCGCCCATGACATCAGATAGTAATCTGCCCATCCGACTTCGCTTCCGAGCTCGTGTCCCTCTCGGATTTAAGACCTCGGAGGCGATCGATCGCCCTCGGAAAACCTCCTGCCGAAAGGGCGCAGTCCTTGGCAGCTTCTGTTGCTCTTTCGTTCTCTGTCGCTGATCTCCTTCCTCTTTCACCTCTTCGGTCCCGAGTCTTACCCTTTAGCTTTACTCTCTTACACGTATGCACCCCGAGTAAGAGTAATCGTGTGGTAATCGCATCCACAAGCAGGTAATCGAGCTCTAGATACTTTCATGGTCGACACAATTAATTGCAATTACTGACGACTTCAAGGTATCATCCACGACTTTATTCTTTCAACATTCCAAAGAGTGGAGTAGATTGCGTACAAGTCATGCGACACGATGCGCAATTGATGAAGAAGCATCTATTCATAAATGGCTCAGGAAACAGCCTGCCAGCGCCGGTGATCGTTGCAACTGAACGAGTTCACGATCACGATTCGATTCCAGCAAGCCGGTTCACGATGAATATCGAGCATCGTTATAAGATGTCAACAAGTGTACGTTGAAAATGCATGAGAGCAAACGAGATTACAAGAATTCAACCAACAGGGACGGCAATGAAGACAAGACACGTGTACGAGCTGACTCAGTTTCAGGTCTATTGATACCCGTATCAAGGCAATGTATCGTGCTCATTCATACTTGAAATTCAGTTCCCAAGATTACGCCGCACGAAGAGGGGCATTTGCAGGCAAGACACCATGCGCAGAAACGAAGAACTGTACGTATGCTTTCAAGACAACAGAACGAGCAATAGCATTGACCAGGTACGTGCTGGCCTAGCATCAGGCCAAATTTCAGATCCGAATTCCAATACGGGGAATGCGCAAATACACAGAAAACCTCTCGCCGCTGGATTTCATTGGATTCTCACGGATCATACAGAGGTAGCTATAGGTAACTAGTACTTACCGGAACTCGCCACGACCGGACATCGAGGAAGAAGGCCCAAACTTGAATCTTACGTCCGCATTAAGCATAGAACTCAGAACGAACCGATTCCATAGAGAGGCAGAGAGCTAGCATTTTGCATGGACATCAACGTCGAGGCTTCGTGCTACGAGTAGGATAAGTCATCTCTCAACGTACGAGTGCTAATTGGAACGAGATCGAGCTACGAATCGAGATGATTGGGTGTACTTCTTATCTGACGACAAGCCACAGACACAAGCTTCCAGGTGAAACTGAGGTATGAGTACAACACCATCAATATCAACTTCGATCTCACAACATAGAGGGCACCTCACGAGAGCTGGTGAATGTTGCTTGATTCTGCCACGGATCTTTGACTTGCTTTATCCAAAGGTGTCATGGCTAGGTCACGTCAAGAAGGACAGCCCGACTCGAAATATATACTATACTGACACAGAGCCAACAAGCCTCTCATACGGAAGATTCAGAGCATCATGATGAGCGAGCTCGAGTCGGCCGGATTTCGAAAATTCACACGAAGAGTGGAATCCAAGAACATGCAAAAGAACAAGAACAGCAATCACGCATCGGGTACCGGATTCGCCGATAACAAACGAGAATTCTAAGAGCATACAAAGACTCCCACATAAGTACTTAGACATTGTACGAAATACTGAGCTCGAGCATGGTCCATGATTGATTTCGAAGGAATCACGACTCGACTGCAGCTGCTGTCAGTTTCAATCATGAGAAGCTGCAGCCACATCATATCAAAGGCTTGATGGTACGCTTCAGCTACTAAGTAGTACTTAAGATAAGAGCTTCTAACGGAGACCCTCACGATTGTCCGTACGTACGACAATGTAGAATTGCATGCAATCCTAGCTATACCAGACACCAGCCGAATGATACGCATGTAGGAGCCGCGATTGAAGATACTTCGAGACTGTGACGTCACGTCTGCATCATGAAGTACGATACTACTAAGGATATGCGATGGCTGAGTTGACTGCACGGATCTGCATCGAGTTACGATATGGACAACTCAGGCTCTGCACGATAAGCAATTTCTATCTAGAGCAACTGAACTTTCAGATATGCACCCCAGTTGCCGCAGACAATTGCAAGCTTCAAACACGAACCTTCTCTCGGAGTACTAAATAAGCCAATAACTGGATCCATGGATGCATACACACAAGATCGAAACTGCATGCCTTGCATACCGATTTCTCTACTACCATCTACTTAAATGAGGACCGAGAACTACAAGCGTAGAGTCTTCACGAAATCTCATGTACTAAGTACATGTTAAGTGGTAATAAAAACATACTGAGCAGGAGAGAGTACGTACGGGGATGTATGGGATCAATATCAGGTACGAGCATCCGCACACGACTGTAAGGTTCGAAGATGAAGCTTGATCCACGAAATCTCTCTAAATACTGAACGTTACTGGCAC